TTGGTGATGCAAAATATTAAAACATGTTCAGAAGGTAGTATAGTTACTTTAAATTATACTTAAAATACTCTTACAATCTTTTTGATAGAATTCATTATGTGCTGTCCAGCTGAGTCCCATTCAATCTGCATTTGATCCAGTACAAAAGATGAAAAACATCTCTAAATCTGAGGAAGGTATAGTAACACAACTCACTTCAGTTCTTTGTTGTACATAAAGTACAATGACAGAATATACCCACTGTGTAACATGGCTTGTGTCTTTTAGCATCAGTGATGCTAAGTAAGAAAGGATAATTCTATACAGCATTTTTTTTCTGTAAAGATAAGACATAGCATCACATAGCATGATATTAATGGTTTTATAAATGCATTACAGCATATATTCCATTTTTATTCAATTCCTAGAGTTTTTTTAACTGTATGTGTCACATATAACTGTATGATGTGGACAGATATTTCTCGTTATCATTACATATTTCCAAACTCGAAAGTATGTACTATGGTGCCATTTGTAAGACAAATTAGTGTCCTTAATTATTTCATTTTCTAACATATCATGTTTCCTGATTTTTCCACTTTTTTCTTCTTTTAAAGTCAATTTTGTGTGTTTCACAGACCTATGGTTATAAAAAAGAGCAGTTTATTTAAATGTTTATTCAAATGAGCCCTTCTCATTTGAAGACCCCTCTGCAATCTCTTCAGTTTCAGAAAGCACTGCTCAGTTTCTAGTGGCAGAAAAACTAGCAAGTACACCAATTGCAGAGGGTGAAATCCTGGCAGTCATGGACCGTGTGAAGCCAGCCAGACAGCTCTCACTGCTTAGAAGGGCTCTGTGTCCAGGCAGGAGTACCCTTTCCATTGAAGAACAGAAGATTTTCCAGTCTCTGGATTATCTGGATGAAAAGCTACAAAGTATGTTGGATAATAAATATACTGCTACATCAGTTGATTAAATAACTATATATTTTTTTGCCTTCAATTTTTTTGGATGAAACCAAGAATCCTGTAATAGAAATATTTTCTGTTGTTGTTGTTGTTGTTATTATTATTATTATTATTATTATTATTATTATTATTATTATTATTATTATTGTCTAAATGTATCAAACTGTATCAAAATCAGGAAATCCTTCTTCAAGGCAATGAAATTAATTTAAAATAATGATGACTTTTTCTTTGTAAAGAATAACTCTATATGTGATGAGAGGATATCTTCAGATACCTGTTGTTTGTAAGAAATGCTTGTCAAAATTGTTCCATCAAGGTGCATCAGGTGCATCAGCCTCACTTGGAAATCTGTTCCAAAGCTTATCCATCTTCATTTTTTTGCAATTCTTTTTTGCAAATTATTGTCCTCTATGTCATACAGTTTTGCAAATATAGTCCTTTATAATGAATGGGCTTTTCATTTTCTTTCTTCTAATATTTTAGAATGTTTCTCCATGAATTCTGAAAGGCTAGAAATAATAAATAAGGAGTTCTGACATTGCTGCAGATAAATATAAATGTATAAATGACTATTACTTGTGCAACCATTTAAAAATGGCAGTCTTACCTAAGTGTTCTCTAACTTGTTCTTCCTTAATGCCAGGTGGGCTTCTTACCTGCTTTATACTGATGCTCTTTATATGAACTCACAGCCACAGCTTCCATTTTGCTGAAGAATGTGGGGGAAAGTCTGTACTTGTTTTTAATAATTTTTTCCCCTGTGATTAGTCAGCTAATGCTTTCTTTAGTCATTCTGTGATATTGCACTTGAAGAACAGACTTACTTCTTGAGTCTCTTGCTACTTTAGGATTTGCTTTGACTGATGTAATCATACAGGCCTTCCATTAAAAATTCACATTGGTTTGGCATAGTTTTGGTATTTTTTGTGCTCTGTCCTGTACTTGAAATCAATGGGAACCTTATGACTTAGTCTCTTCTGCTTGGCTGATTGGCTTTTTATATGATTGGAATAACTGCTTGACATTTGTGCTCTACATGGAATTGCCAGCTCTCCTTAATTTTCCTCACACTTTTTTCATATAAAATTTTACATGTTAATTATTTCAGTTTATTAGAATGTGCTTTCTTAAAGGCCACTGATTTCACTTTTCTATTCCACTACTATTCCTTCTGGACTGCACTATTTATGTTCATGTTATCTAAGTTTACCCCCTTATTGACTGGAATCAAACTAAATCAGGGTTTATTAAACTTCTGCGCACTATCCGTGTATTTCTACATTACATGGTGAATAGTCTGACTTTGAGGAAAAAGGCTTCAGTTTCCTATAGACTGCAACAGCAGAATAAAAGATCTTTGCAATTGTTTAGAAACTTTGTGCAGCTGTAGCTTACAGTTCTTGCTCTGTCAAACAGTGGTTCGGAATTTCATTGTATCATAACCTGTGGTTATTGCTTCCAGGCAAATGAAAATTTAAAAATCCATTTTTTACCAGAAAACTGTTTTAGTATGATGTGCTCAGGTTAAGAAAGTAGATATGAAAAGAGAAATATGAGCATATAAAATTAAATTTCTGTGTAAGTAACAGAGAAGCTACAAAGAAGGGAAAGGTGAATTCAGCAAAATAACTGGAAGCAACAACTCAGAAATTTTTGAAATGTGAAAAGGAAAACTGTAAGAAAAGTTCATAGCAGTATGGAAGAAACAGTGAAAGAATCATAGGAATTAACAGATTGCAAATGAAGTAACTGTGAAAGTTAGTGTAATACATACACGTACATATGTATCTCAGAAATTTAATTAGCATGCCTAATTATTTTGAGATTAATACTGGTAATAGAAAGCTGGGAAATTTTACAGGTAGACTTACATGTAAGTACTTGTAAGTAACTAAGTGTTGTAGGTATTTACATGTCATGCAAGTACATTGCTGTTCTAAGCTGTTATCTTTTTCCATTCCTTCTTTTGGCTTTGTTTTCACATGTTACCAAATTGAAAAATTATGTAGCTTTATATTGGTCTTTTTAATGAATAGCAGTGAATCACTAGCCAATCTACCTTTGGAATATTTATTGCTGATGAGTAGATGGCATTCATTTCTCTAGCTTTAGATGTCTTTATTGGTACTAAATTTTTTGTTCATATACTATTTAGATGCAAATTTTAAAAATAGAGGTATGGCCTATCCTTCAGCAGCTGTTGGTAGGGGAAATAAAACCAGTGCTATTAAATTACATTTCCACGTTCTTCAGAAAGTTTTTAGCTGAATATTTGACTGTGAATCTTATTTTTATTGAAGTATTTTGTTTATTTAATATTCATTATATACTTAATGTTTTTTTCAGATGTTCAAAAAGCCATTACCAGAAACCCATTTGCTTCACATGTTTTACAGATAAGCAACCCTTAGTAAGTATTTAATTTAAATGTGTTCAGCTTTAATTTCTACAAACTAACCTTATTGCTTATTTTATTGTAAAAATATAATTGAAAATACTGATATCAATCTATTCAGCTGCCTTGCCCTATTTTTTGTTTATGTAAAAAAAACCCCAACAAACGTGAACTTTATATTACTGTAAACAGGCTTTAACAGTTTATGTCAGACTGCCTCATCCTCTGGCTTCATTTCCATTTTGGTATTTGAAGACATTTGCTAAGTCCAGGAAGTCCCAAGAACTTCCAAGGAACAGTCATTTAGCAGGGTCCATTTGAAGTATATGTAACTCCTAAATAATTTGTAGTTCATTGCGGTAAGGTCCCCCCTGAGCCTCCTTTTCTCCAGGCTGAGCACCCCCAGCTCCCTCAGCTGCCCCTCACAGCACTTGTGCTCCAGACCCTTCCCCAGCTCCGCTGCCCTTCCCTGGACACGCTCCAGCCCCTCAATGTCTCTCTGGCACTGAGGGGCCCAGAACTGAGCACAGGATTGGAGCTGTGGCCTCAGCAGTGCTGGGTACAGGGGGATGGTCACTGCCCTGCTCCCGCTGGCCACACCTGGCTGAGCCAGGCCAGGATGCCATCGGCCTTCTGGGCCACCTGGGCACACTCTGGATCATGTTCAGCTCCTGCTGACCAGCACAGCCAGGTTCTTTTTCCATCAGGTAGCTTCCCAGCCACTGCCCCCAGCCTGTAGCAGTGCCTGGGGTTGCAATAACCCAGGTGCAGGACCCAGCACTTTGCCTTGTTGAACCTCAACAGTTGGCATTGACCAACTTTCATCATTGATCCAGCCTGTCCAGATTGCCCTGCAGAGCCACCAGCAGATTAACACTCCAACCCAGCTTGGTGTCAGCTGCAAAGTGACTGAGAGTGTATTCATCCCCTAATCCAGATCAGTGATAAAGAACTGGCCCCAGCACTGAGTCCTTGGGAAACCCACTTGTGACTGGGTGCCAGCTGGATGTACCTCCAGGCACCACCCCTTTCATGGCTCCGCCAACTAGACAGTTTTTTAACCTCTGAGGAGTGTCACAGACATCTTTTTGTGAAAATCCTTTTCTTGGGATTTTTCCTTCTGAGAAGCTGAGAGGCCTCAAAAACAAAATGTAAACAATGGTTATCTGCTGCTGTGGAATGCATCAGGTGGATTTTTGATTGGCCCATCTTAGATGTTTATAATTAATGACCAATCAATGCCCATCTGTCTCAGACAGAATCTGAGACAGTTGCCTTTTGTTATCATTCTTTTCTTTTCTATTCTTAGCTTAACTAACCTTCTGAGATGAAACTTTTCCTTCTAATCTTTAGTATAGTTTCAATGTAATATATATCATAAAATAATATATCAAGCCTTCTGTAACACAGAGTGAGATCTACGTCTCTTCCCTTATCCTAAGACCCCTGTGACCCCCGTCACAGAGGAGTGCATCCATTCATACCATAAGCAGCCAGTTTTCCAGGAGACGGCTGTGCGAAACTGTGTCAAAGTCTTTACTGAAGTCCAGATAAAGAATATGCACAGCCTTTCCTGCATCCACTAAGTGGGTCACCTGGTCATAGAAGGAGATCAGGTCAGTCAAAGAGGATCTGCCTTTCCTGTACCCATGCTGGCTGGGCCTGATACCCTCATGGTCCTGTACATGCTGTGTGATCACACTCAAGATGATCTGCTTCACATATACTGCATACACATTACGGGATAAGCTGTTACTAAAAATGTTAAAGAAAATATTCTTTATTCATAACGCTTTTACAACTCTCTGAATTTGAGACTGAAACACCCCAGGAAGCATCCCAGCTCCTAAATTCAAAATAATTGCCCAGTTTTGAAGTGAGACTCTGAGAAGACAGCTGTGCATCAGTGCCTTTCTTCTTGTGAATCTCAGTAATAGGTGTGACTTGGAACCTCAGCTTCCTTTCTTCTGCCTCCTATCTCATAAATTTAGTTGTTTACGGCTAAACAACTTCTGGTTTTAAATTTTTTTTAAATTTTGTTTTTTTCTGCACAGTTACCTTTATTGGATCTAAGTGTGTTTTAATAATGCATTTTTGAACTTTTCCTCTGGTCCTTCATGGTCTGCCCAACATTAAAAATAAAAAAAAGAAACAAAGCTGTTTTTCTCACTGATGCATTTCCATGGCTTTCAGTAGACAGAATTCTTTCTTGGCTGACTGGTCTGCCACAAAGCTTTCTCCCACTAATTCATCTACAATATTTTTACTTCATGAATAAGATTCAAACACTAGATATTGCTCAGGCTGTCCTGTCTCTGGAACTTCAAGTTCTCTGATTTAAGACCCTTCTTTCACTACAAGTATATACTTATGCATTGAAACAGGTGTCAAATACATTCAAATCTCAGCCACTGGTTTGGAATTCTTGATGATAAGAATGAACTGTCATACAAACATCCAGCTGCAGAAAAAGTACAGATGAATGAGATCAAATCTACTGGGAGAAACAATGGGGTTTAAAATTTTTACTTCACCAAGAGAACAAGCTGTTTTAGCTCTCCTTGTTTCAGAGCACCCAGATAAAATATGGATATTTACTCACTAATTTCTGTGAAGGGCCTTGTTCTCTGTAATTCCAACCTCTGAATCCAGATAAAGGTATGTAGTTGTTTATAGAATGGAAAACAGATCACATGATACCATCGAATGATGCTTCTTGAATGTTATACATAATCACATTTCTGTTTATATACATGCATATCTCACTATATTCTGTTTTATTATAGAGTATTCAGCAATGCATGTCCTCCCCTTGGGTGAGCCCTGCAATAGCCTCACTGCAGTACCGGAGTACTTCCAGCTGGCAACCCACTGCAGTTGTACAGGAGACACTGACATTATCTGCTACAGAATCTTGTGGCTTTATGTACTTTATATGCAGTGTGTATAATGTTTGACAGTACAAAATTAGTAATAAAATTAAGAAGAAAGCAGAAACTCAAATAATGAATGTCAATTGACTGGTAAGCATTTTTAGGATAACTAAGTCTATTTTATTCTGCACTTTATTGTAAAATCAATTTTAAAAAACCCATCTGAATTGTTATACCAGTTCTGGATTAAAGACCTTTTGTTAACCAGCGTGATACTTCAATTTGTGAAGTTAGTTAATTGCTAAGAAATGGTGAGTTTTTAACTTCTTCTTGTTCACTTCCTCTGCTGTTTCGATAAAAAGTAATGAAAAGATAAACATTCATGGAATCATAAAATCACAAAACCATTTCAGTTGGAAGATCATTGAGTTCATCAAGGTGACACTGCAGTGTTTGCCACTAAACCAAGTACCCAGGCACCACATCCTCATCTCTTTTTTTGTGTTGTTAAACAAGCAGAATCAGTCAACAAATCTAGGCTGCAATTAGCTACAAGAAGTAATAAAAAGAATTTACAAAATCTCTTGATTTATAATTCTGTATCAGATGCCTGATTTTCTGTTCATACCTACACAGTAACAATTGTAGGGTTTGTCTCGGGGTGGGGTTCAGCTCTCCTGTACTTCCACCAGAGCTGTGCCTGATCCCCACACAGTGTTTCTGCTAGTCTTTGAAACAAAGTGTATGGAAGCCTGGGAGAGCCTTATTTCAGGAGTGGACTCAGTGCCATAAGAGTGCAACCACAGGAACATCTGCCCCCCATTTAGAGACTGGTATTCTATAAATAGAATGCATCTTCCCAAAAGAAGATCTTAAATGATCATTTGGCAAAAGTATTTTAAAAACTTGGTTGTTCCCCATCATACCAAGGTCATCATATCATCATTGCCATTGTTTAGGAAAGAACCAGCCTTCAAGAAAAAGAGAGGAGGAAAACATGTGCCCATCTTAACAATGGACAGTTTCTCAGGGTTTTACCTGCTGGTGCATTGTGTCAGCCAAGACTAAGGTGAACTACATATAGCAAATAGCAGCTTAAATTTTACAAAGAAGGTTTAGGGAAAGATTGAGTCTTTCAGGAAAATATTTTGAAGACTGGAATAATAAATAATAAATAACCTTTCTCCTCTAGCTAGGCATTACTACATCTTTGGAGGAAAAATCTGGCCTAAAGGAGCTGACGTCAGTCTGGAGACTGTTAGGATAAACTGTATTTAAACATCAAAATTGCAGAAACTTGATTTCTTATGACCACTGTTGCCATCTGCTCTGATAGTTCTGCCAGAAAAGGGAAACTATAGCTGAAGTCCACATGCCTAAAGGATTTTGATGTGTGTCAGTACTTACTTGGTCTTTGGTCTCAAATAAATGTAGAATTCCCAGAAAAAGGCATGAAACAAACTAACAAGAAGCATTTTGAGTTGGACTCAAAATTTGTTTGCCCTGAAATAGTGAGCCCTTACATCTCTGTTTGTCAGCAGTCCCCTGTGACATTCCAGTATGGTGAGGATTTCATATTTAAATAGCGGGGCAAGATTTCCCAACAGAGATTAAGAGAAAGGAAAGCAAATAATCCAAATACCAGAGGCCATGGTAGTGCTAGTCAGCAAGCCAGAGCAGCAGCTTAACCAGGTTTCTACTCCTGGGTGGCAGTTTAGGTGGCAAAAGTAAAGCCCGAGTCAACTTCCTCAATTACCTGAAGACATTCTTTCAAAAGCAGGTGCCTGCATTTACATTTCCAGGAAAGTAATTTCAAATTAGTTTTTTGATTTAGCATTACAGGCTTCAACTAAGGTAATATTACCTTCAATAAGGTAATCACCTTGTTTATGAGGTCACTTTGGCTCTTATGACAACAGTGAAGTATAATTTTTGTTTAGATGTCTAAACAGGGTGACCCTTGGGCATCAGGAATGTGCACTTGAGAGTGGTCCCAGGGGCAGCAGCTGGATTCTGAGCACTTGTGAAAAGCCAGAGCAGAGCCTCATGAGGGTGTCATTGACAAGCAGCCTCCTGAGTGCAGACATGTCCAGGAGAATGCCAGGCTTAGAAGAAATGGGCTAATTTTATGCCCCGTCAGGGCTTAACAGGGTGTCAAAGCACCCCTACCCTAACAAGGTTCGCCTTTTCCTCCATCACCTGTGGGGCCTCCAATGCTGCCAGGAAGAAAATGATCTACCTCTATATCTGGGAGGGCACCACAGCAAATAGCCACCATCCACTCCAGCACCTGCATCCAGGCTCTAGGATGGCAGGAGCCTATGTACCTGCGGCCTGCCATTGGCATTGGAGGCACAAGTGACAGGCGTGACAGTGCTGTGGATGTGAGGGATAGGTGCAGCTACAGACACATGGGGGCGATGACAAGTCCTCAGCACTGACAGGGACAGTGAGACAGGGACTGGCTGGGCTGCAGCTGGAGCTGCCACAGTGGCATGGGAATTCTGAACAAGGCTCTGGTTCTTCTTTCTCTTCTGGAACTTCCCTCTAGCCATGGTCATTAGACTGCAGGGTCCTTGCCTATGCTCCTTGATAAGCTCTTGGTAGTGGCAAGAGCTGCAGAGGTAATGGGTAGGAAGAAGGGACTGGGAGAAGTCAGAGATCCTCCTCCTCCAGCCATTGCTCACAGTCAATTTGCTTTCATGGGGAAAAAAGTATTTTTTTAGCTACCAGATTCACAGGCTAAAAGAACTGCAGCCCTGTGAAGTGGGAAGGCCTTTGCAGAACTACTACTGACACCTGTAAATGATGTTTCAAGCATTTTGAACAGTGTTTTTCAGGCAAAACAGGCACAAGTAAACCCTTATGACAGTGTTTTGGGGCAGCCAATGTGTGTGTAAAATTGCAGCAGTGAACATGACTGTGCTATACGACAAGCTGCCAGGAGGATGCATTAAATCATTTGAGGCAAAAGGGCTACCTCAAAATATGTATTTACCTGTGTTAGGCCAGTATAAAGTACACAAGTCTTGAGTTGTGTGGAAGCATCTTTGGCAAAGCCCCTGCTGGGAGGAGAACTTGACTGATGCTGTCAAATTCTGCAGACACAACAGGAATGACAATGCACAATAAAAAAGGAACCAGAAATGGGTGGGCAGAGTGCCATCTAAAACATGGTCAGTGGTGTGTGGGAATGACCAGGCTTCTCACCAAACACACATCTGCTCCATCAAGTGGACAGGAGGTTTCATATCCTTTTTTTCATCTTTATCATAATATTCATAATCATCTGGCTCATAATGATTTTTTTCTCTAATACCATTGCTTTTATAAGAGAGAATTCACCCAAACTGAATTTGACCCCCTATATCTAGAGATGACTCCACAATATTTCTGGAATTGTATTTCAAATCATAGCTACACAATTCCTTCAATAGTGACTACAAATCCCAAACCAGGAACAATGATAGCAGTGATCCAGGATGACCAAAGTGTCTGTGGGTGACAGGAATCTACATATAACATTTCTATTATTGTATTTATGAATTTTGTTCTTTTTTGAGAAGGAAGCAATTGTTTAGCATTGTTATTTAGTCTGTATCCAGTAGTTTGTGCTCTATCAGAGAAACAAAAACAAAAAGAAAAAAAGAAGGAAAGAAAAATGAAAAGGAGGAAGAAAAATTTAAAAAAGAGAAGGAAAGGAAAGGAAAGGAAAGGAAAGGAAAGGAAAGGAAAGGAAAGGAAAGGAAAGGAAAGGAAAGGAAAGGAAAGGAAAGGAAAGG